ACATAGCTAACTGTGGTTTGAGTCCTGAACCTGGAGGCTTGCTTTCTCACTTTCTCTCTCTCTTTCTTTCTCCCCTCCTCTGGTCAAATTAAAATAAATTTAAAAATAGTTGAATAAAGTAATTCTTTAAAAAAAAAAGGAAAAAAGATTTACTTATTTTATTTGATTTGTTATTATTCTTCATGTTTTTTTTTATTAACTTGACCAGAGGGAAACAGAGAGAGAGAGAGAGACAAAGTGAGAAACCAAGCCACCAGATCTGGGATTCAAACCACAGTCAGTCATGTGGAAGTCCAATGCCCTAACCACCACACCACCTACTGGCCCCAATGTTTACAACCTTAAAGTCACAATGAAAAACAAAGCAGTTTTGGAGTATCTGAGTATTTTTATCTAATGTTTCTAAGGTGGCTGTTAATGTAGGAAAATGAAGGATCCCTCATGGAGAGATCTTAATGATTTGTTAAGACTCCCAAAGTAGGGACCAGTGGATGGTATAATGGTTATGTTGCTAGACTCCCACGAAGTTGACCATGGTTCGAGTCCTTGACCAAGTGGCTTAAAACTAATGCTGGGTGTATGTGCATGTGTGCCCAAAATCCCAAGAGGAGAATGGAGGAGAAGGACTGCGGCATGGCCATCCCCTCTGGGGGATAATTTCTCATTTTCTGTCTCTCTGTTCTTTCTGGCGAACGCACAAGCCCCATAGCAAGAAAATCTCTCTTTAAAAAAAAAAAAAAAAAAAAAAAAGATTCCCAGAGTAACAACATGCCCTAAGAATCTGGTGTCCTGAAACCTGACTAGTCTAGTGCCACTGACTATCTGTGAGCGCCTGGGCAAGTCACATGACCTCCTTGGTCTCGGTTTCCTCTTCTATAAGATAATCTTTCCCAGGCCCTTCTTGAATTTCAACACCCAGAAGGAAAACAGAGCTGCTGAACAACAACAACAACAAAAATAGTGAATTAAGCTTGTAGTTAAGAGAATGCAACTCTGTCCCACATAAATATCAACTTCTTTTTTTATTTTTTTCCATGAAGGAAAATGCTTGAGGGCATTTGGCTTCAGGAAGCAGAACTGACTGCTCAGCCATCAATAGCTGAGAAAGAACAGCTAGTGAAGCAGGAAGGCGTTAAGAGAAAAAGCCTCAGATCAGAAGGCATCAAAGAGACCTGACCTTGGTTGGGCAATGAGGAATTGCAACACAGAGAACTGAGCTGGAAGGCAAAAACGAGGGCAGGAATACAAAACCAAGGGCAAAGGGAGATGCTATTCGAACACGGGATATGATAGCCAGCATGATCACAAGGCGAAAGAGTAAAGAGCACACTTATCATTTTCTTTGTGTCCTAAACTAATGCGGGAAGTGTTAAGTATATGCAGCATTCTAAAAGCAGAAGCTGACACAAAAACAGTGCAGTGTTCCTACCTTGCAAGATCAAAAGCAGGACCTAAGACAGGCTAAAGGGAGCTTCTGGTTGCAAACCTCTAGATCCCTTAACCACTAACTAGAGCCTACTGGTTACTTTATGATTCAAAAAAAAAAGAGCCTCACCTCAGACTGCTCGCCCTGACAGTCAGCACAGATAGATCACTGCCATCTGTGGTTTATAAATTCCTTTTTTCTTGCCTGTCAGAATGGCGACACAAGCACTAGGCTCAGGACACTCAGACAGGCATCCTCCCTCCTCCCTACCTCCCCTTCCATCCCTAACAACCTATCAATCAAACCTAAGGCAAGGGAACAGGCAGGAGCCAGAAGGCTCTGTCTTGTTTATTCCTCAACATTCCCTCCCCCATCTCTTCAGCTGGCAGGAAGTAAGAGGCAGGAGTGTTCAGTAACAATTCAGGGCAGCAGCAGTTGGTAAGAGTCATCTCTGGTCTCTCCTAGCACTCTGGGAAACAGCACAGTGAGCTCTACCGGACAGAGAGGTGAGTGTGTGCTGGAGCAAAAGTGGGATTCCATGAAGAGAAATCCACATCCTGAGTTGACAGAAAATTTCCTTGGCAAATTTCCTGAACACCTATACATTGAAGAGAGGGAAGGCTGGGAGGGGGAGGGCTAGATCATTTGAATATTCAAATCTCCCTTATTAGCTAGTAGTCGACATATGACAATTCTACATTGTCCTAGACTCCATTATCTTCTTTCCTATTTCCAAGATGGAGAAAGATTCCATTCGAAATACTTTTCCACATTCTATAGAATTTCCCTCTTCATGACAGTTCCCAGTCTAGAGTATGCACTTCCTAGAGCATACCATCAAACATCTGTTTTGCTGTTTTGGTTCTGTTGGTTGTCCCTACATAAAAGGAACATTCCAAACTCGTTAGGCCAGAGGCAAACCCATATTTCAGAGAGAAAATCTTAAAAGAGATTTTCAAAGTAACAGTAATCATGAAACACTGACTGAGCACCTAATGTGCCCCAAACCTGGGATTCTTGTTTTTAAAAAGCTGCTCCACTGCAAAGTTCCTATTTTGTTTCTTTAACTTGTCTCTTCCCCTCCTCCTATTCCAGAAATGCTCTCTCCTTACAGTATGTTTTCGTCTCCTAGCAACTTCCAAACATTTATTTAAGTAATTATTTATTTCAATGGCCAAAGGCAATATGGAAAAGACACCTCCAGAATGAGACTCTCCAAAAGGGTTGAGAGAACAGGGGAAAGAACTGAGAAAGCAAGTTCTTGCCTATGGTAATGTCACACTACACAGCAGATTTTCTGCTTCTTAAAGTACTTCCCACCAATTTTATCTTCCTTCCAGCTGAAGAAACTGAAACAGTCCCTGTTCCATCTTTCTCTCATTTCACTGTTTTGGTCTCACAGGCTCCCTGGAAGGCGAGGCTTAGAGCACAGCTATATTAGTAAGAGGCAAAACTCCCTGGCATCAAGGTATATTCTTAGCTGAATGTACTGCATCTTTCAGTCGAATTATAATCTAAAGGGCAGCCACCCAGACATTCCCTGCACCTATATGAGAGAAAATGTATTCCATTTGCTTCTCTGTTAGAGACAATCATAGACATTGAGACTTAAATCCAATATGAAGCTATGCAACATTAATCCTTTCATGCACAGACTACTACTGGGCTTAGAAGACTGCAACAGAAAGGAAAATGAAGGCCATCTTCAGAAATGCTTTTCAGCACAGGAAGAGCAATGATTATGAACATGGCTATATGGCAAGAGTTTCCTGAAGCCAGATGTAGGGAATAGTCTAATGGGCCTGGAACAGAAGCAAGAACTCCTGGTACTCCTAGGCCTCTTTAAAATAGTATTATCCATCTGCACCCCAGAGAAAATGGCAAATCACAGCCAGTGCAGGATAAGCCATGCCAGTAACCAGCTGGAACTTGACTCTGCTGAGGTGGACTATAGCATCTGCCACCTAAACATAGGCAGCTTCTCTCACAGCTGCCACTGGTAAAAGGGCAAGAGCCACTGTGTTATTAGTGGAACAAATCCATAGCCCTGATACAGGAGAAGCCCAGATGTTGCTACGAGCTGCAGATACGCCAGAGGCGAATACTAAAATACCTATAACAAAGAAAGCGCAAGTTACCTCTGGAATCCAGACACTAAGAGGGCATCACCACCCAAACATACACATCTAGTCTTTATTTATTAACACTTACATATGGAAATAGGTATTCCCTGCTGCAGCTGATGTAATTACAGAGAAATCAATTTATGCTGCATCTGCTGGGATAAGCTGAAAGCACAGGGTGAGCAGAGCGCAAAGCAGAAAATCAAGAGCCAATGAAAAACTCATCACCAGGCCAGCCCCGTGGTAGGAAATCGTAAGCTGCTTAAGTTAAGGCAGCCTGAGCTGACCTTAGACTCACACCTACTGTGCTCCAGCCCTGCAAGTTCCATTTCCTGAGACATGAACTAAGATCACCTTCCCAGAGGAGGGACTCAGTTCTAACTCCTCCTGGGGCTGCAGGCACCTGTCCTTTCAAGTCAAGCAGAAGGCAAGGTAACATTATACTGTTTGGCAGCTATTAAACCACCAGGAGACTGATTCCCAATAGTTGCAGGAGACACCTGGCAAAGAACTATACCTTTAGTGGCCAAAGAATCTCTTTCTAGGCCAAACTTTTACACCCACAATACGAACTCATAAGCCTGACTAAGTACTCATAAAACACTCAATACCCCTGCCCATTTTTCTGTCCCCAAACTACCCCTTTGCTCTGTGGTAGACACCAACAGAATGCTCGATAGATATAATATGAAACTTATCCCTTTGTTCTTCCAGAGACCCAGCAGCATCATTTATCCCACTAAGCACAGCACTCGACCTATACACGTAGTCAAAAGCTTATTATGTTTATCAACTATTATGATTCTGATGATGAAATACCAGTCAAGTTGGGGGACCAACAGTTAGTGTAATGGCTATGTCACTGGACTCCCATGTAGTCGACCGTGGTTCAAGTCCCGAACCCGGTGGCTTAAACTCACACCGGGCGTGTGTGTGTGAGTGACCAAGATCCCGAGAGAAGAATGGAGGAGAAGGGACTGGGGCGTGGCCATCCCCCCGGGGGATTATTTCTCGCTTTCTGTCTGTCTCTCTCTCTGTCTGTCTGGTGAGCACACATACCCTTTAGCCAAAACCTAAAAAAAAAAAAAAAAAATACCAGTCAAGTTGGGAACCACATAAAGGTTTGATGACAGCCTCTAGCAACAAGTGTGTGAAATAAGACAATGATAAGGTGGAAGGGTCTCAACTCTGACAAGGAAAATTCTTTCCACCAAGTAGCTGCCCCCCAAAATAGACACCCTGTTCCAAAATGTCCAGGCTTGCTATAAATGAGTCTGCAGGGAATTCTCTAATTTGGAACAAAACCACATTATCATTACCAGCTGCTCTGACCTTGTAATTGGTCATTACCCACAAACTAATGAGCCTCCCACAGAGTGCACATAGCATTTAGCAGTTAGTCCAGGGCGGTTCTGACTGGCAGTGGGCAGCCAGATCTGGCCACCTCTTACCTTTTCAGACTTGACTTTCTTTAGCGGGCGACACTCATTCTCCCCTTCCTCTGGCTCCGGTTTAGCTCCCAAAGGGTTCAGCGCTGCCCCAGGCTCAATAGCTATACTCCCAAGCGGCTCCACAGCTCCTGTATCCACCCCTGCACTTCCATCATACTGACCACCCCGTCCTCCTAAAGGAACTGGTTGGAGGACCCCAGAATCCTTTTCTGAACAAGTCCCCACTCCTTCGCTTCTCTCCTTCTTGCTCTTAGACGAGCTGTTCTCCTTTTCCTTTTTGGAGCCGGCTATACTGCGAGATGCCTTAGCCGCCTTCTCTGAGCCCTTGGGAGCAATAGCAGCAACCAGGCCTCCTGCATTGGCACCATCTCCTGAGCGCCCCTGCACCTCTTTCTTGCTAGCTGCCCCCTCACTTGGAGTGAACAAGGAAGTCCCTGGAGTGGGTTTGCTAGTGTCTTTGCCACTCTTATTCCTTTTGGATTTTGATTTGCCTTCCTTCCCTTGAGGACCTGGCACTGGGGTCACAAACTTGATGTTGTCTGGTAGTGTGGCCACGGCATTGGGAGCCGGTATCCCCACCTCCTTTGAGCCTGACATTTCCAGTTTCTGCTGGGCCTTTTCCAGATCGGCGTCCAGGTCAATGATGAGATTCCCTACTCCAATGTCCCATTCATCCCCACTGTCGTATGTCTCAACCGGGTTTGCATCCACTCCTTTCCCTCCGGAGGCTCCACTGCTCAAGGACATCTTAGAGTCAACGTCCCACCTCAAGATTCAAGGCTCTTCCTTGCCCCCAGCTTTACTATTTTCAGCGTCAGCTATGTTCTCAGACCTGCCACATTGGTCAGTACATGCCCAGTGGACAACATCATTGCTGGAAAAAGAAAATTTAAAAAGCTGTTAGAGGTAACAATACAGGCAAGGAGACAGCCTGAAATAAACTCCCA